CCAATGATTTGCCCCCTGAGAGCCCATAGACAAGAAAAGGTCCCAAAAAATAACATGAGGAAAAAAGAAAGGAATCACAGTGATCAACATAGACGGACGTTGTTTGTGTGTGGTAGGCGAGGCCTGAAAAAAAAGTTTCTGTATGTAACCAAAAGGCAGTCCCTATCTTCTACTATCTGGTCTCTAATATGGACCACCATAGCCATTAGTTATCCTAAAATACTGAAAGCAAAATAACTCCCAACCTTCTCTTTAATGTTTGTATCAGGACAAATTTCACTGATTCACAAATGATTACTGAGAGCCAACAACGTACACAAGGTACTACCCTAAGTACTGGGAATAGAGGTGAACCAGAGAGAGGCACTGTCCCTACCTTCACAAAGTGCATACTCTAATTAGGAGAAACAGAAAATAACTCAGTGTGTGTGTGTGTACACAACTGCAGTCTGTGCTAACCATGATGAAAGAAAGAAATGGGGTGATGTGAGAAGACAGGGGCAGGGGCCCTACTTTAGATAGAGTGCTCACAGTAGGCCTCTCCGAAAAGGTGACATTTGATATATGAGACCTTGTCAAGAGCCAGGGAAGAGCATTCCAGCTTCAGCATACATTTGTCACAAGTCCTTCAAGTGGGAAGATTATATGGGGGATCATGGTGATGATAAAAAGCCAAAAGTCTGAAGGGGTCTCGGTCTGTAGTTGTCATCATCATTACCATCATTATCACCGCAATCCTTTATACTGGAACAAGATTCTGAGTGGGAACAAAGTGTTTCCCTTGTCATGAAAAGCCAGTGACTAGGAACTGAGACTCTGATGGGCCGAGAGTCTTGAAAAGCCCTACGGTCCTTTTCTGTCCTCTCCTTTTGCTTTCACTATCAAAAGACTCAAAGAAGCACCAGATACCAAACCTCTGAGGGAGCGAGGTGTGGACCACTGAGCTCACAGTGCAAGAATGGTCCACGGCTCCGTTGTCTCTTCACTCCAGGGTACCGCAAAGGTCACTTCCTCACACAGGTGACCAGCCCGACCTCACCAAGGGCTTCCAAGGTTACAGCCAGCCAGAACCACAGCCTCGCACGTGGCAAAAAGAGGAGAATTTTCCAAAGGTCGCCCCGAAGCGGGGTACAGTACCTGTCAGAACGCGTGAGGAGAGAGTGTGCGGGGATACGGCCATAGCGCACGAGTCTGGCTGCTCTCAGCTATCCCTTGTCCTCTCCCCTCACCGGTTACTGGGCGCCGCCATCTTGCTCTCCCTCCCTCTGCAGGAGGAGGGACTTCCTGTCCGTCACTTCCGGCGTGCTGGCTTTGGCTGGAGGCGTTGGGAATCGATGGGGTGGTGCTGAAGTGTCACCTGCCTGAGATACCTTGGAGAAACGCAGGAAGTACGGTGTGGCTATGTCCTTGACTGAAAAGCCGCGCTGCGGACGGCAGCCCTGCCCTTCCAGCTCCCAGAAGTTAGTAGGCATCCTGTCAGGGCCGATCTGGTCCTAGGGTGACCGGCCCGAGGGGCAGGGCGTGGCCGCCGACTCCTTGCGGGCGATTCAAAGTCCCACTCTTGTCGCCCCGACGCGGAGAGGAAATACATGAATGCTGTAGCAGGGCCTCTGCTTTCCCATGTGATGAGTGGCAATTAACAGCTTTGCCATTTTTGCGGTCACGTGGGAGCCCGGAAGAACTTGAGCTTCGTTCACACCAAGGGAACCCGAGGATCTGGGATGGAGACGGGGCGGGAACGCGGTCTCCCGCCTGGTGACCTTGTTCGGGGAAGTCACGTAAAAGTCGGGTGAGCCTCGGTTATTAGCCGTACAAGGTAGATAATTACAGTATTATTGTTATTTTATAAGGTAGTTGGGAATTAAATAAGGTCTCGGTAGCCACACCTACACGTACATGTAGGCACTAACAGTTAAGGATGAAATCATGGCTATGGTGCTTGCTAGAACAGGTCTTACCCAGCGCTTTGTCAGTTCTCGTGTTGGGGTGCCGTAGTCAACAAGCACAGTCAAGAAAAGAGCTTTTATAAAGGAAGAGAGAAACAGGTAAGTGGGTCTTTCACGGGCAATTTCTGTTTTCAGTGACCATGTGTTAGCCATTTTGGTACACCTGAGCTGACACTGCTAGGCAGAGGAACAGTGGGGAAAGTAAGATCCCCTGGACTCTGTAGGAGCTACACTGCACCTCTGGGGGAGGACAGGAAGTTATTTCTGATTGGGGGGGCGGGGAGAATATAGAAAGTGTTGCAGAAACCCAGGTGAGGTGACATTTCTGTGTAACTGGATTAGGGCAGTCTTCAGAAATGTAAACTCACTTCTCAGTCGAAGGAACAGTAAGAGTTCCCCAGTTTACGAAGAAGGCTGAGAAAACAGAGAACAGGATTGCAGTGACTAATTGGCTTGGGCCAGGCACAAAGTTCATCACTGTTGGGGTGTTGGGACCCAGGCCTATTGCTAAACTAAGAAAGAAGTAGAGAATGGATTCTGGTTAAGTAACTTAAGAGTCTACCACAACTTTGTTCAACTCTTGTTTTCCAAACATTTCACAAAAACTTTGAGGATTGTGAAGTATGTTCATATTGACAATTTTTGCTTATTGTTAGATGAATCAGACCTTCTGGTTTGCAATATCTCACTTAATTAGACCTACCTTTCCAGGCCAAGTTTCCTTAGAAAATGCCATAGACAAGTCTGTTTTTTGGTCATTGTAGATTAATGGTATGTTCAGAGATTGGCCTCAGATATTCATATAGCTCGACTTTTTCATAGGTGTGGAAACTGAGATCTAGAGAGGTTGAGTGATTCACTCCAAGCAATAGAACCTTGACTCTAGACATAGAGTCAGCATTTTTTCCGTCTCATTGTATGTCTTCTAAAATTCATGTTAAAAAACATCAGAGCTGAGTGATACCACTTCAGCCCAGTAGGATGGCTATAATCAAAAGTTAAATAACAACAGTGCTGGTGAGGATGCAAAGAAATTGGAAACCTCATATATTGCAGATAGGAATATAAAATGATATAGTCACTTTAGAAACGATGCAACTGTTCTTCAATAAGTTAAACATAGGAGCTGCCATATGACCCAGCAATTCCTCTCCCAGGGATATACCCAAGAGAAATGGAAATAGGTATCCACACAAAGACTTGTAAACAAATATCCGACAAATATTTATAGCAGCATTTTTCCTAAGATCCAAAAAGTGGACAACCCAAGTATCCATCAGCTTATTAATGTCTACAGAAAATGTGGCTTATTCATATGGTGGCCTGTCATTTGGCCATAAAAAGAAAGTAAAGTAGCAATACATGTTACAAAGTTACCAAACCGTGAAAATACTATACTAATGAAAGAAGCCAGTCACAAAAGACCACATATTGTATGATTTCAATTTGTATGAAATGTCCAGGATAGTTAAATCCTTAAAGACAGAAAGTAGATTAGCAATTGCTCAGGGCTAGAAGAGGGAGTAGAGGAAAAAGAGGAGTGATTGCTAATGGATGTAGGGGAGGATGAAAACCTTGTGATCGATTGTGGTGATGGTTGCACAACTCTGAATACACTAAAAACACTGATTTATACACTTTAAATAGGTAGATTGTACAGAAAGTGAATTAACTCACTAAATCTATTATTAAATTATTAAAACAAACAAAAAAACCTGAGGGTAAAGTCAGGAGGAACTACTTAAGGAGACCAAAGTAACACTTCTGTTAAACACACTTGCCATCTTACTAATAGCTATTTTTCCCTTATGTAGATTAGAAGACATGACTGCCCCAAATAGAAGACATCTGTCAGCCTCCTTTGCAGAGTGACTTGACATCATGACTAATTTTGGACCATGGGATGCAATTAGAGGAGATGTGTTTAACTTTTGAGTATCCTTAAAAGAGCAAGTCCTTATAAGGAGTTCATTGCTGGCTGGAATGCAGATGAAGTGGCTGGAACCTGAATGACATCTTGGACCATGAAGAGGTCTACAGAGAAACAAGATAGGTGGAGCCTGGATACCAGCTGCTTGTGGAAGTGCTGGATAAAACAGCCCTTGGGTTAGATGAAGAAGAAATAAATTTCTAATTCAATACAGTGTTAGTTTAGGTTTTCTGCACTTGCAGTACTACTTAATCCAAATCAATATACCATAAATATGAATTTAAATTAATAGTAAAGTTCAGCGTGCCTGGCTAATAACAAACAATACCTCTGTGTGTGCCCTGTGCCGTTTAGGAATAAGAGCACCACGGTCTAGACAAGTTGTCCCAATTTGTCAGGCACAGAATCTTTTATGTGGGTAATAGAAATTACTTCACTTTATAGAAATATTCCTAAAGACCAGACACCTTCTCTTGCACCCATTATTGATCACATAGCTTCTCAGTCAGAATTTGTTCACCAGAGTCTACTTAATATTTTACAGAAAGAAGGTGCCCCCACCCCCTTCCCTAAAGAAGAGCATTAATAGGGATAAGTTATGAGCAAGGACATTAAAGGGCCTCAATGGAAGCCGATCATGCTGGTTCTTAGGTACTGGGAAGGCTGAAAGCAAGCAGGGCTCACCTGCTACTCCAGAGTGAAGAGTGTTCGAGTGGTGCTCATGAAAGTGTGGGCAGGTGGGAAGCAGAGAGGAGGAGCAAGTCCGTTCTCTCTGTCCCAGGCTTGTTGCATCATACCTTTACTGGCAGAGTCAGTGAGCCCACAGCCATTGGTGTGCACACTGGCAACTATGCCACTGTGAGGAAGCAGGGTTTGGAGCCAAGGTAGATAACTATACTGCAGCAGGTTCTACTCACTGCCATGTCCTTATACCTTTTGAATAAACACCCTGATTCTGTTAAGGGGAGCAAAACACCCAGTCCAGGAGAAGAGTCGTGATTGCCTCAAGTCAGCGTTCTCTCATTTACATTTGCCCAACACTCACTTTCTTACTATCTTGTACAGTGAAGGTGGCTGTTAGCCAATTCTGTATAGAGGTAAAGGAAAAGCCTGCTAGTGAGGTTTGGGGAAATAATTTTGTTTAACATTGAAAGAACTGGACATGTAAAGGTATTCTCTATGCCTTTCCTCCTCTTTTATTCCCAGGAAGCAAGGCTGAGAATGTAATTCCAGGAGCTGAGGCAGCCATCTTGCAGCTATGAGGTGACAAGGAAAAAGACAAAAATCATGCTGAGGAGGGCAGAGTGGAAAAAACAGCGTGGTTTCTTGAAGAAATTGCTGAGCACTGTACCAAGTTAGGAACATCTATTTGCAGATTTGTTGCTATGACGTGATGCTTAAGCTTCTGTTGGGTGTCCTGTTTGTCACAACCTGGCATGAAAGCTTGCCAAGGGCAGATGACACAGAAAAACAACTGTAATCCTGTCAGCTCTCCAATAAGGACATCGTGCCTAATAAAAATAAATCAAATTAAAATATGGTGGCTGTTTCTAGTTCCTTTGAGTTTTTGTTTTTGTTTTGTTTTGTTTGCTTGTGATTGGGTCTTACTATGTAACCCAGGCTGGCTTCAACTTGCAATCCCTTTGGCTCAGCCTCCTGAGTATCAGGATGACAGACATGCACCAGTGTACCCATTTGGTGACTGTTTCTAATATAGCATGAATCCACAATGCTTGAAATACACAAAAGAAAACCAATTTCTGCAGATTCATTTCCATCTTCTCTTACTATTCAGGGCGTGTCCCAGTCCTTAATGACATCAGAATGTCTGGTTTCCCACATCAGGAAAGCAGTCCTTGTTCTCTCCTCAGTGTTTTGGAGCCTAGTGAAGCTTAGGTGAAATGTTCCAAGCATAGCAGAAAACAGACTCTGTCCTTTAAAGACAGTTTCTGTTAGCTCTAAGGAATTCTTAGAAAATGCTTTATATGTATTCTGGTAAGTAACCTGTCAATATTAAAAACTAGAGAATTCCAAGTATAAGGAGACTTGTTAAAGGCAAATTAGTGAACAGAATCCCAGATACGTTATTTTCAGGACAATCATTAATAAGGTACTAGGAAAGCATGGATGTCCTCACCTCTTTTCGGAATCAGTTATTAGTTCTCATCAAGGGGCCATTCTCTGCATTTGTTCCCTTAACAGTCAACAGGAAACAAGATAATTTCTTTTTTAAAAATAATTGTCATTTCATGTTTCCAAAAAATAGAGCATTTATTTAACACTTTCCCTGATACATATTATTTCATTTTCAGATGAGCCTGAGACCTTAAAAGGCTCAATAATTTTCCCCAGTTCACATAGGTAGAAAGTGTCACAATGAGAATTTAAACATGTCTGACTCCACAGCATGTGTTCTCAATCCTCCTGCTGGACCATCTCCCATATTTTATGTATTACAGATTCTCATTTTCATCCTAGTCTAGAATTCCCCATTTCTGACCTGGGTTCAATTTCTTTTAACCTCAGTTTCCATATTTCTAGAGCAGGATACTAATACCAAGTCTACCACTTAAACTGCATTGTACTTTCAATACTTAATGAGTCCATATCTGAACACCTTCACACCATACCAATTCCAGAGGCCTATCCAAAATTTTTGGTGGTGGACCTGGTGATTCACCATTAAGAAAAATGATTTTATCACTTTATAAAAATTATATAAGCTTTATATAAAAATTTAGAGAGTATACAGAAAAACATTTTTGTAGCACAGAAAGTTACTGCTCATAATGGTGGTGAGGATAACAATATAACCCATTCATTATCAGATAGACTGTACCAAATTTAAATATGTTGTTTAATCACATTTAATTTAAATAGATTATTATTTACCTTTTCTGAATTAATTGAAGCCCAAAGTGTTTGAGAAGTCTGTCTTGATTTTCCTAGGGCTGCTGTAATGAGTTACCACAACCTAGTTGACGTAAAAACCAGATGTGTACCATCTCACCATTGTGGAGGCTAGATGTGTCGTGGGACCAGGCTCCTTCAACAGCCTCTAGGGGAGCGTCCTTCATTTTTTCTTCCATGTTCTGGAACCCCCCAGACATTGTGCTGCCTCCTATATATGGCTATCTTCCTTTGCCTTCACATGGCACTTCTCCTCCTTGTGTGTGACTGCAAATTCACCCTGTATGTGTCTTCTTTTAAGGTCACTAGTCATAATGGTTTAGACTCCATGGTAACAACCTCACCCTAATTTGATTACATCTGCAAAGACCTTTTTTCCAGCTAAGGTCACATTCACAGTTTCGGGGTGTTAGCACTTGGAGACCCACAAGTCAACCCATAACTGCCCAAGGATACAGTCAGTAGTAAAGAGTAGAAACTAGACTTAAACTTGGGTGATGGTAGAATCTGCCCCTTGGCAGCCACAACATGTTTTATTTCATGCACTTTCAGAAAGGGGAAAGTCTAATGAGTGGGGAAAAAAAAAACCTTTCAACTATTCAGTAAAAATTTATAAGGGAACAAAACTTTGGGTTGTTTGCAGACATTTCCTCTGCAACAGTTAAGTGCCAAATGACTCCCCAGGGTCTTGAGGGGGGACAGTTATGAGCTAAGATTGTTTTAAACAGTAATTTGTCTTTCAGCAGGACAGGCAGACATTCTCAGAAATGCAAGGACTCAGAAACCATTCCACTAATTGAAAAACTATTTGAAGATAAATTCCAGTGGTTCAAAGGGTTTGGGATTATATATAGAGAAAAAATTGTCAAAACTAATTTTGAAACCAACATTGGGTTGCCAACTTTTAACATTATAAGTGTGTTTAAAGCAAATCAAACTACCATCTAAAGTTGTAATAATTTTGTAAAAGATCATTTTCAAGCCAAAAATTATTAAAAGGATATGATCTGATAGCAATTTAAATTGGATAATTTAGCTATATGAAAAATTATCCTTATTTAATATCAGTTTGCCCCAGAGTAATGAAGAACTTTTTCCATAGATAAGATCTCATTCATGAATTGGAGTTTAAAATCTAGAAACTGAAGGGAACACAAAAGGACATCAACTGAAAATGAGCTCTGACCAGCACTCCATGATTTATGCAACTGCAGGAAAAATATCATTTGAAACTGACTGTAATCGTTTCCATTTTCTAAGGAAAGTTTCAGTGGGAAAATAAATCTTTGCAGAACTCCTCCCTTCCACATACAGAAGGTGATGGAGGGTTGAGAGAGGAAGATAATTTGTTCCCTCGACTGACATCTGGGTTTTCAGTAGTGTTTTTTAAATACTCATCAAAATTTCTATGAACGAACCCCATGTTTAAAACAACTATTTGCACTTATGCATTTAATTAATTCTCCCTCCCAAATTCTCTATGAAAAGAGCATGTCTGCATTGGAAATGGGGTAGTGTCCACTTGGCCAAAATTTCTAAGAATTATACAAATTAGAATGTAGATTAGATCAAATCAAGGAAAGGGCCCACTGGTCTGTGATTTATGACATTTAAAGGGTGAGAGTTACCTATGAGGAAAGAGGAAAGTCCACTAAGCAAAATTCAACTAAGACCTCTCTTAGTGCAAGAGGGGCTGGGAGCCAGGACAGCCAGAATTTGGGAGTAGGTGCACAGAGGCTTCTGAAAGCATCAATCACAGTTTACACTGGGAAAGAGCTGTGCTGAAGACAGCAGGTCACTTGCAATAGCTGCCTTAAAACCAAGGAAGTGGGTGGAGGTGAATGGAGGTGGAGAGCTCTTTGTGGATGGAGGTAGAGGGTTCTTCCCTGGAGCCTCAACTGTGAGCTAGAACACCAAACAGGAATAGAAGCACTTACGCACGACCATCAAGTTCTTACCCCAACTCTACTCACTCCCTCACTGCTTCCTATATGCACTTCTGCCTGGAATAATGGAATGCCACAGTAAATCAAAACCTGAGAGCCTCCGCTTAAGAGCCTGGGCTCTGAGTTCTGCCTAGATTTAAATCTGAGCTCCTCCATTTTCTAGCTCTGTAACTAGTTATGGCAAGATGTTTAACCCCTTTTGTGCCTCCACTAACTAACTCATCTTTTAATACAAGCCATAACAGTACCTATGTCAAGGGTTTTTTGTGGTTTTTTTTTTTTTTGAGGATTAATGAGTTAATGGAAAAGTGATAAAGTATCTTATAGCCAGTATAGTGACTACTCAGCTCTGTAACCAGAATGTAGTGCTCATGCACCTTATAATAATTCTGTTATTACCAATATTATTAACAATATCTAATCTGAAATAGATTATTATTATGCCAGTATGGTTCTTTAAAAGGTGTTTGATTTCAAGTAGTTTTTTGGCTTTTTCTTGAGTCCCTCTGACCAGAAGTGGCAAATAGCCATTATATACACAGCCTGTTGGTCAGAACTAATCATATCACCCTGCAATGCAAGAGCTATCTGGAAAATGGAAATGGACAGTGGAATAAACAGTACTACTTTGCCCCAGGACAGAAAAGATTTGAATAAAATAAAAGACACACCATGTTTCTGCTTTAGTAGAATATTGGATTGATGTTAATTTTCTCCAAAGCAATATATAGCTGTAACATAATCCCAGACACAAGTCTAAAGGATTTGGGGGAAGAATAAATAATCAAGAAATAGCCAAAGCTGGGCAGTGGTCATAGCTCATGCCTGTAATCCTAGCTACTCAGGAGGCAGAGACAAGGAAGATCACGGTTTGAAGCCAGCCCTGTGCAAATAGTGCATGAGACCCTATCTTGAAAAAAACATTCACAAAAAAAGGGCTGGCAGAGAAGCTCAAGTGGTAAGAGCATCTGCTTAACAAGGGTGAGGTCCTGAGTTCAAATCTCAGTGCTGCAAAAAGAAAAAAATAGCCAAGAACATATATCCAAAGAGCATAAGTCAGGATACAATAGAGACAGTTGCACACTGATGTTTATCCTAGCAGTGTTCACAACAGCCAAGCTATGGAAACAATTCAGATGTCCTAGAAGTTATAGATGGATTAACAAATTGTGATATATATATATATATATATATATGTATATATATATGCCATGAAGTTTTACTCAGCCATAAGGAAGAATGACACCATGTGGTCTGAAGGTAAATGAATATAAGTGGAGGATATCATGTTAAGTGAAGTAAACCAGGTTTAGAGAGACAAAGGCCACATATTTTTTCTCATATGTAGAGAATAGATCCAAAAGATAAACATATACACAAAAACAAAACATGATCGTATACAAATTCATATGTAGAACATGTTTGTGACAGTGGAACTACTCTATGGAATGCAGGGGAGGAGGGAAAGGAAAGGAGATAGAGGATCAACAATATCAAAATACATAACATCTGCACAGGCAGAGGACATAACAATATGTACAAAAAGCTGATGAATAATGGGGGTGGGAGGGAAAGGGTAAGGGAGAGTAATGGGTGGGGTTGAACTGACCAAAGTAAAGCATATTCACAGCGGGGATGCACTGAGAAACCCCTTTGAACTTTCACTTTGGAATTAATAA